CGCACACCTGCCTTGAGAGTGTGCTTGAAATTGCGCGACAGGAGCCGCTGGCCCTGCCTCATTCATACTTCACATCCAGCATTGTGTCGAGCCAGAGCCAGGCTCAGCAATTGCATTCACTTCACCTGCAAGCCACCGTTGGGCTTTCCACGTGGCATTCCATATCTCGAAATCTTCGATCGTGCATGCAAAGCACTGAGCCGGAAGAGCATTACGCAACACACCTCCACATTTGGGTTCATTTCATTAAGGCCTTGCGTGAGAAACGCATCACGCGTTTGTTGATTGCTCATCCGCTAAATTGGTGGAGAAGGTTCGTGAGTAATCTTCTTGCTAATCACTACAGAGAGGTATCGTTTGACTGGCAGCTTAGGGTCCTTGTCCGTGCTTTAACGTACGCCGACGATAGGTGGGTCCCTAGATTGCCTCAATACTTTCCGTGACATCCAGGTACATCGTGTGGCTGCGCATCTCCGCTGCGGTGTCGAGGTGCTCGCCCCTCTTGCCCTGGTTGGTTCTGACTTTCGGACTTCACTTCAAACATTCCTGAACATCTTGCCTTTGTACCCTCTCCTGTGAACCCCTGCACGGTTTAGGGAGGCTAGGCCTTGTGGGTACCCTAGGCGTCTGACGAAGCATCACTGCATCACCGTGTGCTTCGCCTCGAACTGCCCAAACAGCAGGTTCAGTTCAGACTTCGATCTTCGCGTGGTTTGTGGTCTCCCTTCGGGTTGAGACTAAGCCCATCACTCCGCCAACAGCAAACCCACAGTGCCGTCGGCTTGACCACGCACTGTGAACGCAACATCGGACAAAGTCCCAATCCCTAAGAGGTTTCAGGGTCAAAGCAAAGAGAGTCGCGGGTCTTCCCCACTCTCATCCGTGTGCATTGGCTCAGACAGCCGGTTGAGTGCGTGTCGTTAGTTGAAAGACCTGCATTGCCCCAATATCCCATCTGAGGAATCCCGGCAAGGTAGTCAAGCTCAGGCACTCTGCACACATTCTTCTGGCCACTTTCTAGGCTGGTTGGGGTCGCCGCCCGAATTAGGCTTAGAGGGGTCGCCGCCCGAATCAGGCTGTGCAATTGTCTCTGGTACCATGGGTTGGAACGATTTTTCGCAGTGCGTTCCAGATCTCCGCCTCGTTCCTTGGTTGAGGGTTCTGACCAAACTCCGGTACCTCCTAGACCGCGACCGAAACATAAGGGTGATCGAACCCCTGCACCTCCTAGGGCACGACCTAAACATAAGGGTAATAGAACCCCGGTTCCTCCCAAGGCAAGTACCTTGCCCGGAACACCAGGTCCGTCACGTGCACCGGAGGCTGCAGCAGATCTTCTTGTGTATCGTCCCAAAGCAAAGGCCCGGCCCGAGTCCAGACCACCGCAGGACTGGGAGTTGGACGAAAGAGAGTATCCAACCATAGCGGATTCGTTCAGGGAACAGGTTGAATTGGGACAACACTCAGATAGAGAAGCCATAAACCGGTGGACTACTGAAGAGTGGAGAGAGCATAATCAGGCGCTCTCATCTTCTTCTTCTGCCGCGCCGCGTGTTGCACCTTTGGAAGTGGTCGAAGTGCGTGAGGACATCCCTGTCCTGATTTCATTGGATTTCAGCGGGGTGCTCAACATCCACTTTCAGGACAGCCGAGATTTTTTGGACCGTTTGAACGCAGAGCGTCCGAGCCACGTGAAGCTGAAGTTTATTTGCACGAGTTACTCTGGGACAGAACGGGCCAAAGAAACGCGTCAGTCGATGGCTTCGGAGCTTCCGGGCGTGCCAGTCTACATCACTAGCTCTCCAACGGGCCGTCCTGGAAAAGGAGCCTTCATTAAGCGTTTGATGGACCGGCGGTCGGATCACTTTGCGTGTCATTTGGATGACAGATCAGACATCGTGCGGGACGTCGAGGCGTATGGTGTTCACGGTATTTTGGTATCGCCGAATACGTGGCTGACTGATCTCGTGCCCACTGTGTTGTTGTGGCTGCGGTCCCTGTAAAACGCTAAAAGAGAGCTGCTGACCTTCAGGGGAACCTGGGGTTTCTATTGCCTGGCACCATGGCGATGAGTCCCGAAACTACTGATTCCTCGCTCCAGGTGTCCACTTCCAGCACGCCGCCTACACAACAGGCGCGGGCACTCAGTGCTGTAAGGGCACAAGAAGCAAGGGTAGGAGAGAGCAGTAGTGATTCCACTCCCGTAAGAGCCGTTTCAACCGGAAGGGGAAGGTCCTCTCAACCCTATGCCTTAGCTAGTTCCCGAAATCGCTCTTCCTCCTCTAGGATGCAAGCTTTGTTGCCTCCGCCTGCTTATGCATGTGAAGTTGCAAGTCCTGCACCAGCAAGTCAACCTGTTTCGCTTGCACCGGGCGATGGGACAACCACCCCGGATGTGCACTTGCATCAGCATGTTCAGCGCATTGCCCCAGAGTTGCACCTGCATCAGAGTCGTCAGGAATTGCATCTTCATGGGGTTGATTCCCGAACACATTCTCAGGCCGTTGCTGCTGCACAGCTGGCACAAGCGCAAGCACAAAACATTCAACAGGACGCTCAGGTGTTTGCCCAGAACGTTCAGCATGAAGCTCAGGCATACGTGCAGGTTGCAAAGAGTGAGGCTCAGGCATATGTTCAGAGCGCTGTCACTTCTGCTCAACATGAAGCCATGCAGCACGCACAAGAGTATGCAGAGCGCGTTAGGGCTGAAGCTGAGAGACAGGTCCAGAGTGTTTCAGAACAAGCCGGTCAGCATCTTGCACAAGCAAACGAAACCATTGCCTCACTTCAGGCTAGGAATCGTGAGCTTGAGGAGCAGCAGGAAGAAATGATGCAGCGGATTGCGATGATCCAAGCTGAGATGCAAAGCATCAAAGCTCAACAACAGTCCCAAGCCGACACGTCCCACCTTCACGCAGAGCGAGTGTCGCAGGCCTCAAGGGCTCAGGACCAAAATGGCACGGAGATCAGTGAAGCCCTCAAGGCCTTGGCTGCAAGTGTTGGTGAGACAATGAAGGAGTTGCGAGAAATCGTCAGTCCCAAAGCATCCAAGCCTAAAAGCAAAGCGAAAGGTTCGGGGCTCCGAAACGGGACACCCTCCCCTAAGCATAAGAGTCCAAAGGTCTCAGCGACTCAAGGTCAAAGATCTGCTGGTGTGGCTGCTGCGCCTGTTCCAAATCGGTTTGGATGCTTCTGCGCACCCAGGTTGCCAGTTTTCACCGGTGTTGGTTTGCCGGCTCCGTCTAGATCCAAGAAGGGTTCTTCGAGTGACAATCCCTTCAACGTCTTCTCCACTCCCAAACCTCCTTCAGTCGTGCATCCCCCAGACCCTCCGATGCACTACGACATCGGGTCCGAACACGAGGAAGGTGAGGAGGAAGAGGAGAGGGAAGATGACCCCATCATTGATGTCACCGATGCACCGGGGGAAGAAGAAGTAGACTATGAGCAGGATACTTACCACAACAAAGATCTTCGAGACCTGAAAATCCCTGCACTTCCTTCGACAGCCGCGGGATATCGAGCATGGAGGAACGGCGTTTTGACATCGTTCAGCAGCATAGACAAGAGTGGGAACGCCAGGATACTGAGATGGCTCCAGGTCGCCCTTGATCCAGCCATAGGAGACCGACAGATGCGCAATCTGCAGGTCACGTCTGACGGCCTTCCCCGCCTTGATGCATTCCTGGCTGCACAGCTTACAGATCCAAAACACCTCAAGGGAGACTACGGAGTCGCTGCCCAGGCGTTCACCGAGCGAGCACATGCGTTAGGCGTGCAGCCTTCCGGGCGTGCGCTGTTGGCAATGCTCAGCCGAAGGTTTCGGGTAGACCGGATCAGGGGGGCGACAGTCTCCCAGCAGACACTCTTAGCCATCCAGCTCGAAGGCTTCAGCCAACAACAACTGCAAGCCTTTAGAGAAAAGGTTGAGTTTTGTTTGAACGGTTTCAGTCCCGAAGCATGGCCCGCTGAGTCTACCTTGTTTAGCTGGTTATACTCCAAGCTCAAGCACTGCAGGCTTCTTTCCAGAGCAGTCGACAAGATCAAAGACTCCAATCCAGGTAGCAACAAGCGAACCTTTGCGTGGTTGTGGTCGCAGCTTGTCGAATTGCTAGATGAGCTGAGAGAAGAAGCAAACGAAGAGTCAATTCGTGACACTCTCATCAAGCCCAAAGCCAAAGCTGCTCCCGCCCCAAAGAAAGAGGAGCGTTCCCGCGATAAGCCGGACAAGCCCACTCCTGCCAATCCAGCCCCTCCGGCCAAGACCAAAGGTTCTGGGAAGGATGGGAAAGACAAGGATGGCAAGGGAAAGGGGGGTAAAGGGAGTGGTAAGGGTGCAGATTCACAGAAAACACCAAACAAGCCAAAGGCGAAATCAGGCGGTAAAGGCCAGGGCTCCAAAGCTGAAGGCAAAGCCCCAAGCAAAGGAAATGCCCCCAAAGCTACCGTACCATGCCTGTTCTTCCCAAAGGGAACGTGTAACCGGGGTGAGAATTGTCCGTTTTCGCATGAGACCTCTCCCGGTAACAAGGCCCCAGGGTCAAAGACTACTGGAGCTAGCGCTACGGCAAAGAGCTCTGCCGCAGCTGTCGCCCTGCTGCTTCCCACTACGGCGCGGGGTGCCTCGGTCGATGGTTCCTCCACACCGAGCAAGACAACCTTTTGGAAGCGTTCAGGATTGAGTAGGTTCTTCCAGTTCGTTTCGGGGTGGTTTACTGTGTTCAGCAACATCTGCGCTCCTGCCTGTCCCGCCACTGTCACTCCGTTGCTTGTAGCATCTCAGCATCAGCACCCGCAACAGGGATGGTTCTACCACGAGTGGATCGCTGATAGTGGTGCAGGTAGATCCCTAGAGAGTCGTGAAGCCCTCAATGAACAAGGCATTCCTGAAGACGCATACGCACACATGGCCGAACAGGCACCCACAGTATCCTTTTCCACAGGGAATGGTGTCGTTGATTCAGGGCTCATGCTTGGCTTCGAGGGTTCCATTCTAGGAAACAATTCTGCATATCTCCTGGACAACTGCCCTAGTGTAAAATCACTTGGTGAGTTGGTAGAGACAAAGTCTATGCCGTTTGTATGGTTGCCAGGAAAGCTTCCGATGTTCCTGTCGAGTGTCGAACACGTTCAGGTCATTGAAGAATCCGCCATATGTGCCGATAGAGTTGAGGGAAATGTTCCAATCTTCAGGGAACAGGTCAGATTCGTCTCGCCTTCCACTGTTGCGATGCCTGGCTTCATGAGCGATGCTAGAAAGGCAAAGCCTCTTGCACGCACTACCATAGAGCCTTCACGGCACACCACGTATCGACCCTCGCCGCATATCACGGAGGAGTCTACCTTGCTTGAGTTGTTGCAGGATCCAGGGGTGCCGTCAAAGACCGCCTCCGGGTCTAGAGATCCTCCACCTGACTCTGATGACGAGCTGAAGTCTAGGGCAAAGTCCTCTTCAGCAAGAAAGCCAAAGGCTAAACCAAGTCCAAAGGACAAGGTCAAAGGTGCAAAAGCTCCTAAACCTGCTGAAGCAGCGAAGGCTCCGGAACCTCCTGCTCCAGTAGAACCCGAGGTCCCGCCACCTCCACTTCCTCCACCTGCCATTCCGCCAGGTTCTGGGTCGGACTCAGGAGAGGACGTAACATCAGAACGTCAGAAGCAACTCATCAAGGAGGCCTCTTCAATGGCACACAAGTTGACGCATATCCCTAAGAATCCCTACTGTGAGATATGTCAGCGAAGCCGCATGTATCGACAAAGAGTCACCAAGAAGCGTGCAGAGCCTCTCGAAGACAGAGGTGACTTGCCTCCTGCTGAACAGTTTGGCGAGAGGATTGCAACAGACTATATAATCCCTTCGAAGCGTGAGCATGCAGTCCATGTCATCAGGGATGAATATAGTGGTGCACTGCGAGCTTTTGTCTGTGCGCGCACAGCTGAGAGAGCAGCTCAGAACCTCCTTACCTTTGTAGGCGCCCGATACAAGCACCTCCCGAACGTGTTGTGTAAGGCTGATGATGCAAAGGAGTTAATAGCTGCCGTCTCACAAATAGGATGGGTGCATGAAGCGACCCTGGAAAACAGATTTCCACACAACGCCCAACTTGAGAGAGAGATAAGAACTCTCGAGGAATCGACTCGCGCGGTGCATTTGGCTGCTGGGTTCCATGTGGTTCCAGATCTGTGGCATGTGTCCGTGCAGTTTGCCGCGCAGACTTTGACAGTTGTACCGTGGCAGGGCAAAGACAAGTCGCGTTTCGAGGTTGCAACTGGTTCCCCATTCGAAGGCCCAAGGCTTCCCTTGGGACAGTTGGTGCATTACAGGATCCATGACCCCAGCCGCAGGCATAAGTTCGAAGCTACAACTGCTCCCGGACTATTTGCAGGTTGGAGGTTTGAGCACGGATTTGTGTATCGTGACGTGATCTGGGTGCTAGACTATGAAGCCGTCAAGTCCAAGTCGATTGGGTATAGGGACATGATCCCCGTGCCATATGCGGAAGTGCATGTCCCAGAGACTGAGACCTTCCCGCTAAAGGCCGCGGCGGATCTTGCTCTTCGCGAGTTCCAGGATCCCAAACTTGAGGCTATCACAGCGCTGGACATACCATTCAGCTCATTGTCCCCTGCTGATCCTCCTCGAAGGCGCGCAGAGTACATTACGCTTGAACGCATTCTTAAGTTCGGTGCCACACCAGGATGCAAAGCGTGCACTTTCGATTCCGTGAAGCATAGTCCTAAATGCCGAGCAAGATTCGATGCCCTGATAAAGGCTGATAGGATTGCGTTGACGTCCAAGCCCCCTGAGCCAGTTCCTCCAGCTGAGCTCCCCGAAGGCGTTGGTCTCCACCCTTCGAGTGAGCCCGCTGTAGAAGGTCTTGTTGCGAAGGTCGAGCTCGGTGTGACGCAAGTCTTTGTCGATGCCAACAGGGAAAGAGTCCGCCAAAGAAAGGTGCAAACGCTCATAGGCAAGGATGTGTTGTTCGAATATGCGTGTGGCGACAGTTCAGAGCTTTCGCAAGCTGCATCCGAAATTGGCATCAACAGTATCCGCTTATGCCGAAGCATGATTGATTTGTCCAACGAAGAACATGTCAAACAAGTTCAAGGTCAGGTCGAAGCATCGCCAGGTTGTGATGTGAGGCTCTCATTGCCGTGCACCGAGTTCAGTCCGTGGCAGAACATGAACGTCCATAGGCATGGGGCGAAGTACGAAAAGGGTCTTCGGAATCGCCAAGAGAAGAGCAAGCTTATGTTCTTGTATGCCCGCAAGGTACTCGCAACTGCCATCGCAAATCATGGAAGGATCGCAGTCGAGTGGCCCAAAGGGTCCGGCTGGTGGGATCTCCCTGAATGGAAAGAATTTCAGGATGAACATGGTCTACACAAAGTGTCTTTTGATGGCTGCATGGCTGGAGTGAAGGGCCGAGAGCATCCAATCCGCAAGCCCTGGAGCGTAGCCACTAATGATCTTTAGCGACTTGTTCAATTTCTTGGACAACTGCAATGTGACGGTAGCCACCAGCACGAGGCCGCCGAAGGCTCACAAACAAAGCAGACTGAAGCATATCCACGAGAGCTCGCTCACAACATCGTCGAAGCGTGGTATCCGCAACGCTACCATCGCCACATCCCCTCCATGGTCACGAAGAACTTAACAAAGCGGGAATGGAAAGCAGACCCGCGCGGAGTTGCAGCCGTGAAGAAGGAGGCAGAAGGGTTACGTTCTAACGGAACGTGGGATGATTTGACAGTCTGTCTTTTGTCTTCCTTGCGTGCCGATGCAAAACGGCAAAACCGTAAACTCAAAATTGCAGAGCTTCTCACATTATGTGGGATAAAACATTTCGAACTCCCTGAGCATGAACACAAGTTCAAAGGGAGAATCGTGTACAGGGGGGACTGCATTTTTGACCAGTTCGGAAACCATGTTCTTTTTGAAGACGTGGCTACCACACCAACTTCCTTGGTTGCCCTTAACATCGCATTGTTTTTCGGCTGCCAAGATGGAAACGCAGTGAGCCTTGCAGATGCCATTCAGGCATTTCTTCAAGCTGACCTCGCTGAGGCAGGAGAGCCCGACACATGGGTTATCCTCCCCGAGGAGCTGTGGTTGGACACATGGCACAAAGCGTACCCATCAGGGTCGAAGTTGGTGGTAAGGTTGAAGCGAAGCTTATATGGCCATCCGCTTGCTGGCAAACTATGGCAGAAACACCTAGCCTCTGTTCTCACTTCCTTTGGTGGCATTGAGATGGATTTGTTTCCTTCAAACTTCATCTTTCAAATGGGTTCCCATACCCTGCTACTTAACGTGTATGTAGATGACCTAACGTTGTCGGGAGCAAAGCATCTTCATGCACAGTTTTGGAAAAGGCTGAGAGCGCATATCAAGCTGGAAGACGAATGTTACATCGAAGCCTCGAATGCACGGATCCTTGGCAGAGGTCACCGAATCCAACGAGGCAGTGACTTCACAACTCTTGTGCTTGATATGTCTGCTTTCGCAGAGCAGGTCGTCGAGGCGTACTGCGAGCTTGCTGATGTCCCAAAGGCAAAGCTCCGTAACGTCACAACCCCAAGTTTGTCCGAGGCGTTAATGTCAGATGAGGACCTGCAGCAACCCGGCACACTGAGCCATGTAGCTGCAAAGGTACTTATGAAAGCACTTTGGCTGGGTCGGTTGGCTCGCCCTGATCTGTGTTTCATAATCGGTCGGTTAGCGTCACGAGTGGCCGCGTGGACTAAATGGGAAGACAAGCAGTTACTTCGCCTGATTTCGTATCTTCACGGTACAACAGGCTTATGTTTAGCTGCTACTGTGAACCATCACGAAGCTCCCCAGATCCACATCTTCACTGACAGTGATTTCGCCTCTTGTCCGCATAGTGCAAAATCGACGAGCGGGATCTACATGACTATAGGGTCAACAGATTTCCGCTTTCCGCTGTGGTGGGCATCTAAGAAACAGACGAGTGTTGCAAGAAGCACTCCCGAGGCTGAGGCCATAGCAATGGCTTCCGCCATGTTTGGTGAGGCCTTGAACATTCAGGTCATGATGGAGCATCTCCTCGGTCGTGCTATCGACGTCGTATTCCATCAAGACAACGAGACCTTGCTCAAAGTCCTGGCTACAGGCTATTCGGCGAAGCTGAGACACTGCAATCGAGTCCACAGGGTCAACATTGCATCAATGTCTGAACAGCTAGAGTCGCCACAAGTCACTGCCGTGTACTGCAAGAGCGAATCTCAGATAGCTAATGGCCTAACAAAAGTCATTCCACCTGCAGAATGGCCACATACTCTCGCACAGTTTGGCTTGACAGCATCCAGCGATGGACCCCACCTGGAAACTGCCGTCGCCGCACTTGCAGAGGCAAATCTTGCCGCAGAAGTCTTCGCAGGCAGTTGCCCAAAGGTCCCGACTTGTCAGCATCTGGTGCAGCTACTGACGCTGTTACCTCATGGTCCTGATAAGAGGGGGGCACCGGGGCACGACTCGCATGTATTTTCTGCGGGCGCATTTGTCTTAGGAGGAGTGTTTGGCCTGCAGACAAACACACACAAATTTCAATATGCAACGGCGTTGATATGTCGATTCTTTCGACGTTATATGCCATCACACAAGTTCTCAAGCATAATCGTGCAGCAAGGTGTAGTCGCGGGGCTCCACCGAGACTCCAACAATGCAGAAGGCTCAAAGAACCTCCTTGTAGCGTTAAATCCAACAAGTGGACCCATATTGTGGGTAGAAGATGAGGAAGGGACTGTCCAATGTCCAAACGACGACAGCCTATGGGGTCACATGTTGTGTAACCCTGCACTCTTCAATCCCAGAGCACGCCACTGCACAGTCCTGACAGGATGTGAGGCTTCAGAACGAATCGTTGCCATAGCATTCCTGATCAGAAATGCCGAGCGCTTGAGTCCTTCAGACCGCGCAACACTACTGAGCGCAGGTTTCAACCTGCCCTCAATCTGCTAGTCCAGTCTCACCGTTCTGTCTCCTAAAGGGGGGAGTTAACTAAACTGGCCCCAAACCACCGTTTAGCTGTACATACCAAGTAGGGTTAGGAGAGCAGATTCGGATGACTGATTGTATTTTGGCTCAAGGAAAATAGGCGTGCCCGTTGTGCGTCTTTCCTTGTCTTAAGTACCTTTGTTGTACTTAACTGTAGTAGTAATAGTAGTAGTAGTAGTAGTAGTAGTAGTAGTAGTAGGAGAAGAAGTAGTAGTAGGAGAAGTAGTAGTAGTAGGAGAAGAAGTAGTAGTAGGAGAAGAAGTAGTAGTAGTAGTAGTAGTAGTAGTAGTAGGAGAAGAAGTAGTAGTAGGAGAAGTAGTAGTAGTAGTAGGAGAAGAAGTAGTAGTAGGAGAAGAAGTAGTAGTAGTAGTAGTAGTAGTAGTAGTAGTAGTAGTAGTAGTAGTAGTAGCAGTAGTAGTAGTAGTAGTAGTAGTAGTCGTAGTCGTCGAAGAACATGTCATGCTGTTCGTTGCAGCAGCACTTCGTTTGAGAAGAAGGTCTCACTCAGACCTAAACTCCAAGCCCAGCAGGCACCTGGAACCCTTCCACCCTACACTCTATACCCTATACCCTGTTCGCATGCACGGGTAACACACAAAGTTCGCCTACCTGAAACGCAATTACCCCCTCCCCCCCCCCCCCCCCCCCCCCCCCCCCCCACCCCACCCCGCAAAAGATAGGATGCGTCGCGAAGTAAGTTTGCGCTGTATGGTGCGCCTGTCCTCTTCATCGAGCGAAAATGCTGGAATTTGCAGCATTTTCGGCGAATGTAACAGCAGATATGCTGGGTCCAATGGTGCGGACATGGATGCTCTGGCCATTCGCACGCACTGGTAAAACAGACGTTGTCATGGTGCGGACACAGATGCTGTGGCCGTTCGCACGCACTGGTGACGCGGACAGTATGATGGCGCGGACATGGAGGATGCTCTGACCTTTCGCATGCACGGGCAACAAACGTAATTACCCCCCCCACCCCACCCCACCCCGCAAAAGATAGGATGAGTCGCGCAGTAAATTTGCTCTGCATGGTGCGCCCGTCCTCATCATCCAGCACGAAGATACTGGAATTTACAGCATTTTCGGCGACTGTAACAGGCATTCCTGGGTGCAGAAGACAAAAAAGGACAAAAATGCGATCGGCAAAATCGAGGCTGAAAGTCAGTGTTTGCGCAAATGAAACCCAATTTCTAAAACAAATCGAGCGTGAATGCTGGTATTTACAGCATTTTGTCGTCGAAAACGCGATTGTTTTGGAACAATAGCTTTGAAAACGACACTTTTATATGCTTTTGCACATTTTCAATAGTCATTCTCAAAAGCCCAAGCGAAACGCGCGTTTTTGAAAAAACAAAGGCAAAAAAAGTGTGTTTGTCCGTCGCACCGGGGGGGGGGGGGGAAACCTGTAGTAGTAGTAGAGTAGTAGTAGTAGTTAGTAGTAGTAGTAGTAGTAGTAGTAGTAGTAGTAGTAGTAGTAGTAGTAGTAGTAGTAGTAGTAGTAGTAGTAGCAGTAGTAGTAGTAGTAGTAGTAGTAGTAGTAGTAGTAGTAGTAGTAGTAGTAGTAGTAGTAGTAGTAGTAGTAGTAGTAGTAGTAGTAGTAGTAGTAGTAGTAGTAGTAGTAGTAGTAGTAGTAGTAGTAGTAGTAGTAGTAGTAGTAGTAGTAGTAGTAGGTAGTGTAGTAGTAGTAGTAGTAGTAGTAGTAGTAGTAGTAGTAGTAGTAGTAGTAGTAGTAGTAGTAGTAGTAGTAGTAGTAGTAGTAGTAGTAGTAGTAGTAGTAGTAGTAGTAGTAGTAGTAGTAGTAGTAGTAGTAGTAGTAGTAGTAGTAGTAGTAGTAGTAGTAGTAGTAGTAGTAGTAGTAGTAGTAGTAGTAGTAGTAGTAGTAGTAGTAGTAGTAGTAGTAGTAGTAGTAGTAGTAGTAGTAGTAGTAGTAGTAGTAGTAGTAGTAGTAGTAGTAGTAGTAGTAGTAGTAGTAGTAGTAGTAGTAGTAGTAGTAGTAGTAGTAGTAGTAGTAGTAGTAGTAGTTAGTAGTAGTAGTAGTAGTAGTAGTAGTAGTAGTAGTAGTAGTAGTAGTAGTAGTAGTAGTAGTAGTAGTAGTAGTAGTAGTAGTAGTAGTAGTAGTAGTAGTAGTAGTAGCAGCAGTAGTCCTGCCAGTCGTTCAGGGGCCCATTCCTTGTCTGAGGGCACTCGCTTGGTGAGCCTCATCAGTGTTGCAGTACGCAGCTCTGAGTGGCGTTGGGACTGGCTTGGCAGCGTGCTAGTCCTGATCGTGAATAATCTGGTCGTTCGGCACGACTATCAACTGACTCTGTACACCAAGGTGCTGCCACAGAAGTTGCAAAAACCTTTCCAGCTGGGCTGCTATGCCATGATCCATCGCCACGCGCGTGTCTCCTGCGGCTACCACCGCTTCGTTTGCTTTACCGCCTATCTTCCGGCTCGTCTGGGTGAAAGAGCAAGCGTTTCACCTGGGTACGATTTCTGAATTGGGGTGAAGAGCCCTAAATGCTAAACCCTAAACCGTTGTGGGTAAAACACAGGCTTGAAAGACCCGAGCATGGGTCCTCTGAGGTTTAGGATTTAGGTTCGAGGTTTATGGTTCCAGGGTTTAAGGTGTATGGATGTAAGGTTCGAGGGTTTAGGGTGTGGGAATGCTTGGGGTGTATGTGTAGAGTGTAAGAAGGTCTACAAAGGACAAAGGATCTGAGTCTAGCGCTTCCGATGTAAAACTTAGACTGGGGCGACGGAAGCTAGACACCAGCGGTGCGGAATGTGCTGCTTGCCTTATGGCCAAAAGGGCCCCCGCCCCTTGGGCTCAGTGCGGGCAGGTTTGGATGGGGGGGGGGGGACCCCCCACCCCTCCAGCTGGGTTTAGGGAAGTGACGAAATCCAAGCCCAAGAAAGCCATGCAGGATGTTTGCGGTTGAGGACGGAACCTTCCCTACTCGTACTAAGAACGGGACAGCGGGGACTGGTCTTAGGGTTTCAACCCCCTAAACCCTAAACCCTAGGGTTTTAGGTTCTTTTTGGTTTCAGGGTTCAGCGGCCAGGGCCCGACCTTCATTTGAGTGGACGTCCTAAACCCTAAGTGCGATGAGTCTGCCGTGCGAGGACCTAGAAAACCCGTAAGCCTTAGGGTTTGAGGTTTAGGATTTACTGCAGGCCTAGAACATCCAAATAAGCCGAAAACATTGCGCACTCCACTCATTTCTACTTCTCAGCCTGCTGGGTTACACCAGCGCTGAGGGTATAGGGCGAATGGTTAGAAAATTGAACCTGCACTTTGAGCTCTAAGCCTTCAAGGACCAAATAAAGGGTCTAGAAGTCTAGACCCCAAACCCTATACCCTAGACCCTAAACCCGAGGACGAGGCAACTGGAGGTTAGTGGAATCAAGGGTCGCGGTTCAGAAGAGTACGGCTTAATTCGGCCCTGCTGGTTGTGGTTCGCCAGCGGCCGGTGGGAGGGGGGGACTCTTCAGAGTCACCAGAGAAAACTGTGCGCAACTCTGCTTCGGGCGAATACCCTTTACTCTGCGCCCTCAGCCGTAGCCGTAGCTAATCCAACCTGAAATCTCCACGCCAAGAAGAGAACACTGTTTAGTAAGGTTTAGTTTTCATACAACAGGCTCAGCCTGAAATCTTTCCCATTCTTGAAGCCTCAGCATGATACATGCCCCGATTGCAGCTCCTGCCCCACAAGCCCCTCGAGCCTCGGAGCCTCGGAGCCTAGTGCTTTCAGGTTAAATGAGGCCAGTTCGGGCTGCAACAGCAGGAAGAGTACAAGCCTACAGCCCCAAACCCCACAAAGCTAAGGGAGGGAGAGTGCAAGCCAGGGTCCCCGATCGGCTTTGGAATCCCGTTAGCCCCCCCCCCCAGAAAGACACAAAAAGTAGCTCTTGAAGATTGGTCTATGCCTTTGTGTGCTTGGAAGTTGCGCCTTGTCCTGTCAGCTGTCTTGATGCAACCGACACACTCAAGAGGGGCGACATGTTTGAGATGCTCGATTTTCCCTGCCTCGGCTCAAGAGTGCTTGATATTCACATCTTGCTACAAGCTTTCCAGTGTCCGCTGCGGTCATGCGCGCTCGGAAGCTGAGCTCCTACACGATAATTTACAGCCGTATACCATACTTATACCAGATCACAAATCAGATGCAGCGCACCTTCCATGGCACACGTGCGTGCCATTGTACACATTGGTCTCGTATCATGGAGCTGCGCCCTCGACGTGCTCGTAATCCAAAGTGCAACTTCAGGCGTCCCATTTTCTTGTAGAAAACAGTGGCACGATTGCTTTCACCCTCAACGATTCAAAAGCAATACGTGTTACCATGGTCCTTCACGCAGCTCTGCCCGTCTGTTCTACGTAGCATCTCAAGCTTCGCTGATGCTGCAGGGCGCCTTGGTTTCTAAGTATGCGATATGCTTGTGAGGATTTCTCAGGCAGTCCAGGGCCGTCATGTCGTTCAAAGGCTTTTGTCAATGTTAGCGCACGCCACCATTGTCATTATCTTCAGCCTTGTTGCGGCCATAGGCGCTGGAAGTGGAAGGGCAGGTAGCGTGTTCGCCGTGCGGCTGATGTGTGGAGGCTTTCCCCACCGCCGCCCTTCGAGTTGCCGGAGGAGGAGCCCGCAACCCGACAGCGCCTTCCAGCAATCCGAAAGCTCCGAAGCAGGAGACTGAACCAATAAACCTTGCACCCAAGCTTTTGAGCTCCCATTAAGAACCCCACGATGTGATCTTGGTGGGTGGGTGCCGAGAATACTTGAGAAGTACAGAGTGGCACTCGCTACCGATCAACAGCCATCACGACCTGAAGCTTGTGCTGCACCCCAGAACCGCCACGAAGAAATCCACGAAGGGCCGTGCAAACTGAGGACTTGCCCCAAGACGGAACCCCGATTGTGTACCCACTAGAATGCTTGCAGGCTACTGCCGGCGGCGTGGATTGAAACGACCCTGACGAGCTGCTAGAAACCAGCGTCGCCCCCCATGATGTGGGTGGCTGGGAGCCAAGGTTTGGGGTTCTTGTCAACTTGTCGTTTGTTTTTAGATGTTTTGCAGCTGTTGCTGGGATCCACGAGTAGATGGAGCTTTGGGTTTCTGCTGTAGTGCCACTGGTGTGTCGGCTCAGGTCTCTGTCCTGCGCGCCGCTTCTGCGGACGGGGCCTGAGAGCGCCATCGAAAATTCATCTTACCTTCAAAGATCCCCACCCTGCAGGCAAGGAATTTGTGAGCTCACTCTGGGTTGGGCGCTCCAAGAACTTTCTGGGGATACTCTGGGAATGTTGTGAGATATTCTGGGTTTCGGCGCTCCAGAAACTCTCTGGGCCGTCCAGGGACTGTCTGGGGATCTCTGCAGTTGGGCACTCCCCTATACATACTCTGGGGTCGGGCACTACAGGGACTTTCTGGAGAAATTCTTCGGCGAGGAGAAGAGTTTAGCTTAAAATCCAACAACCGCACACCAAAGGGTGGGGAATAAGATGACCGAGAGTGGAAGCAACCACAAACAAAGCAGATGCAGTCGGCTTGTTTCGTTGAATGTATTCATGACTCCACGCCCACGCCAGGATGGTGAGAAAGAGGTGCTGGACCCAGCGCGGCTGCCAACATGTATTCATGAGCACTTTGGGCCGTCGGGAGATGTGGACTCGCTGACCACGACCAGAGCAGCTTCTCACCCATGCCGGGGTGTCCTCGGGGTTGAGGGCTTACATCGGGTTTAGGGGATTGGGGACTGTGGCCTGCCCAGCATTGACCATGACTCAAGGACTGTGGCTGACACTGCTCATGAAACCATCCCTCAACCCCAAACCCCAAACTCGCAAACCGCGGACCCTATGCAATTCCTGACACGTCATGCCAAACCCCCGGAAGCGCCGCGGTGCTCAGCTTGGGATCCAAGATGATCCAAGGTTCTCTCACCTGGAGCGAGCATTTTCCCAGACGGTTTGGGGCTCAGGGGTGTCAAGGCAGTGCGTGTTCTTCGGATTGCTCCATTGCTGCCACTTGCTCGGGGCTGCAACTTCAGAGGGACCCCCAAGCAGTCCTAAGCAGCCCTGCGTCGTGAGTGAAGTTGGGGGAGTCGACAAGCCTCGCACACTGTGCCTCTCCTCTCGAAGGCATTTGCTGGAATAGGGCTACCCTTTACATGCCCCAATTTTCTGGAATCCTCATCGAGCTGCTACAGCCCCGTGATGTCGGTGGCTGGCAGCCAAGGTTTGGGGTTCTTGTCAACTTGTCGTTTGTTTTTAGATGTTTTGCAGCTGTTGCTGGGATCCACGAGTAGATGGAGCTTTGGGTTTCTGCTGTAGTGCCACTGGTGTGTCGGCTCAGTTCCATGCCCTGCGCGCCGCTTCTGCGGACGGGGCCTGAGACTGCCATTGAAAATTCATATTTCTTCGAACATCCCGTCCCCAGGCAAGGAATTTGTGAGCTCACGCTGGGTTGGGCACTCTAGGAACTCTCCGGGGATACTCTCTCCGGGCGCTCCAGGGACTCTGTGGGGATCTCTGGGGTTGGGCACTCACCTGAACATACTCTGGGGTCGGGCACTACAGGGACTTTCTGGAGATATTCTGCAGGCGAGGAGTCTACTTTAACATCCAACAACTGCACACCGAGGGTGGGGAATAAGATGATCGAGAACTGAAGCAACCACAAATAAAGCAGATGCAGTCGGCTTGTTTCGTTGCATGTACGAGAGGCAGACATGTTGTGAGTGCACTTCTTGACTTCATGCGGCAGTGAGCCTCCTACTTGCCCGATGGCGCTCATGACTCCACGCCCACGCCAGGATGGTGAGAAAGAGGTGCTGGACCCAGCGGGGCTGCCATGTATTCATGAGCACTTTGGGCCGTCGGGAGATGTGGACTCGCTGACCACGACCAGAGCAGCTTCTCACCCATGCCGGGGTGTCCTCGGGGTTGAGGGCTTACATAGGGTTTAGGGGATTGGGGACTGTGGCCTGCCCAGCGTTGACCATGACTCAAGGACTGTGGCTGACACTGCTCATGAAACCATCCCTCAACCCCAAACCCCAAACTCGCAAACCGCGGACCCTATGCAATTCCTGACACGTCATGCCAAACCCCCGGAAGCGCCGCGGTGCTCAGCTTGGGATCCAAGATGATCCAAGGTTCTCTCACCTGGAGCGAGCATTTTCCCAGACGGTTTGGGGCTCAGGGGTCAAGGCAGTGCGTGTTCTTCGGATTGCTCCATTGCTGCCACTTGCTCGGGGCTGCAACGGCAGAGGGACCCCCAAGCAGTCCTAAGCAGCCCTGCGTCGTGAGTGACCCTGAGCACAAATTCTATCCCCGCCGCAAGGTTGGGGGAGTCGGCAAGGCTCACACACTGTGCCCTCTCGAAGGCATGTCCTGGGATCCCCCAAGAGGGGTAGCCCTAATGCTACCAAGCCATGAACCCGCAACCCTCAACCAAAAGCCCCTAAACCTGGCCTAAACCTTAAAGTCCCTGAGTCTT